CATAGACCTGTTGTCCGAGTCATTTGGGGTTTTTTCCTATTTGTGTATCACTCTTAGTTTAAAAAAAAAAAAAAAAACCACACAAAAAACCCCACTTCATGCCACAACCTTTTTTGTTACTCCTAAGTATTTGGAGGGGGAAAAAAACCATAATAAAAAACAAACAAAGCCACGAAAACCCAGTGAACTTAAGTTTGGCCTGATGTTTGGATTCCATTTGGTTGTTATCCCAAGAAGATATTAAAGGGCTCCCTTTTGACTTTGGCAGATCTGTAGCGTGAAGGATTTTTTTCCAATGCTTTAATTTCAACAGACACAGAGTCTGGGAGCACCATTTTTAGGTTTCTTCATATTAGGACCTCATCAAAGATTCATTAAGAAAGAGAAGGTTAATTTGGGATATCTGCTCATCCACTTTTAACATCTTTAACTAATGCAATGAAACACAATGTTTTCAGTGACAAGTAATTCTTATTTTTTGTCTGACACTTGCTTCTCCAGGAAACTTACACATCTGTACATACCAGTGGCTAATGGTAGATCTAAACAGTTGTGTATGCACATATTTGTTTTTCAGCGGCAAGTCAGACTTCTGTCTTTGAAACTCAAGCAGGTAATTTCAAAAAGCTTCTTAGCTTATGAAGAGGGCCTAGTAAAGTTGGTGAAAAACAGAATTGTGTATTTACAAGTACTGTTTCTAATTTTTGACCTTTATTGTGCCTTGTTCCCCTCCTTACTTCTCCCAGTCACAATAAAGGTATGAAAAATTGAAGAAAACAGCAATACTTAGGAGCTGTGCAACAGAATCATTGCTGATGGCCACAAATAATGCCGTGCATTTTTTTGAAATTAGCCACTGTCCCCATGGCTCTAGCTTCCATTGCTTAATTGTGACTCGCTTCACATGTCTGCTAAAAGATTCATAACAAAGGACCAGACTGATTACCAGTACCACTCCTTCTGAAGCCTGGTGTCTGTCAGGAACCAGCATGGTACCATAGCAACCATTTTTTAAGATGTCATGCTCCTTTCGGAGGAGAGTGAAAGTCTGGGGTTGTGCAGTTATGCTTGCAAACAGGCATCACTGAGAACCTCTGTGGTGTTCAGTCTGCACTCTAGTTTCTTCCCATTTTGGTGTTAAGACCATACTGGAGGGCTAGGAGTAATCTTCTACTAGTTTCAGACAGGTATAAAGTGAACTGCTGTCATAAAGTCTTTCAGGCACATAAATGCCCAAACAGGTTTCAGCTTTCCTTTTTTTTTCCCAGAAATGCTTGCTGGTGTGGCTGATTGATTAGGCTGGAAAGGGGTATCAGACACTGAAAACTAAAAGCAGGGGAGCTGCTAACTCACAGGGTGTTCTTGTCTCTCAGGTGTTCCACCAGATTACATAGTGGGTCTCTAGCCCTGGTCTGAATGCCAAGTGGTCTGTGTTATTACTTGCTTTACTCTGGAGGCTCCAGTTGCTAAATCTATGATTTAGGGTATGGTATTGGCAAAAAGTATTGCAGTTCTTTATTTTCCACTCTAGGGCTGGGAGATACTAGTATTGAATAGATACCTTTTATTTTCTTGATGGAATTAAACTGATGGAATCTTAGTTGAATCTTGATCATAGTAGTCAGTTGTTTTGCCTTAAATATGCAATAGACTTCAAAAACAGTAGGGTCATTCTTCCAAGACCCTGGATTTAGTAGTTCCCCATTTAAAAGTTTCAGCAACTTACTCAGCCTTTACATGTGTTTGCTGATCTTGACGTAATTCTGTGTGTTTGCCAAACATCCCTTCTTCTCCCATTCACCTTACTTCCCTCAATATCCTGAAAAAAGGAAAAGGAAACAAAGGGAAACCCTGTTTTGTAAAGCTTTGGGTGGGTGAGGTTTTCCATCTCTCTTCTTAACTACTACTTCTGGTTGTGTTGTCTCAAGGTGATTTAGGGCTAGGGTTGTTGGAGGTCAGTTTAAACATTGTCTTTTGGCCTGTTTGACTTGGAACCAGACTGAGTAGTGTCTCTTAATACAATTCAGTATGAAGCTTGCATGTTTAGGATTGAGAAATGGCAGATACGGCAAACTGAAGTAACTTTTGATTCTCCTGCTCCATTTCCTGAAAATGTGGAATACGTCTCAGAGGTGCATCCAAGTTGCAGCAACTTCCTAGCCTGTCCTTTTACTGCACCTCAGCACGAAATACCCGTTGTGCTGTAACACAACCCTCTCTTCATGTCCTAAAGCTGTAGCTTGTAAACTTGTTTGATCAGAAATGGTTACATAGAGAAAAGCCATAGAAAACCTGGAGGCACAAGGTGCAATTTGCCAATTGAATATTGCCAAGTGCCAGTAATGAGATGACTGCTTGAAGTCCATTCTAGATACATAATTGCCAGAAAATGGGACTTTAAAAAAAAAAAAAAAAGAAAAGAAAAAGCTTCTAGCATAAATGGTGCGGAAAAGCAGGACAGTGAAGTAGCTTCATTTTGCCTTTAGAACTTGGCACATCAAGTCTGATGTTACTGTGCACATACTCATTTGATGACAGGGTCTGTTGTTGCAGGATAGATGGACTGTGTGTTTGCACTTTTGATACTTAGCAAGTGCTTGTGGGGTTGAGAAAAAAATGATCCAGAACAAACAAAAAACCAAACCCAAAACTCACAAAAAGCAAACCAAGATAAAGGAAAACAGAAGTTTCCTGCATAAGTACAAACTGTAAGAGCAGCGAGGGTTCTGAGATACCCTCAGTCATGCAACTTTTTTTATTTGTATTGGAGCAATGAAGTTGAGGGTGAAACTTGTGATATCCTGAGTTCCATAGTAGCTAATGTTCTGTGTGACAGGAAGGTCAGTGGTCACACAACAGTTTTGCATCATATAAATGTGTATGTGTATGGTGTGGTCTCCTTGTGTGTTGGTGAACCTTTTGTTTTTAATGAAACTGCATTCTGTGTCTCAGTATTAAGTGTTTACTGTGCTATGCTGTACATATATCAAGATAATGCTGGTGTAGACATCTGTTTTACATGCATGTGTGTATTTAGCTGTACAGCTGAGGCATCTTTTTTTTTTAAAGCTGTCTACTCCATGCTCTTTCTGCTTTGCAAGGACCCATGTTACTCTGACCAGGCAAAGACAATTGGATGCAGCTCTATACAGAGATAAATACAATGCACTGCTCCACTTGGTTGAAGGGAGTCACAGGCAAGAAACACGTGGCAGTTCTCTCCTTTGGTCAGTGTCTCCCTTGGCATGTACTGGGCTGAGGTGCTCCACATTGGTACAGAGACCCAAAATGTAGTGATCTGGTAGCAGCTGGTGCCAACTAATTCCTAAAATAACACTGTGTTATTTAGGTGATCTGTGTTACGTCTTGGGCTCGTAAAGCAGAGCAGTAACCAATTAACTGAAATAAATATTACATTTTACAATTTGAGATTGACAGTGCATACAGGGAGACGTCCTTGAGGTCCATACAGAGTTTGGAAGTGCTTGTTCTATAGGTTGTTCCTTCCCTGAAAAATAAGTGGGAGTGGATGGGTATTAACCCTTAAAAGATTTCTTGATTCTGTAAGATGATGAACTTACAGCTTTCAAGGACAAGATGCTGTTCTCAAATCTGCAGTTATTTTTATTCCATAAAATTTTGATCATCATGTACGGATACATTAGATCTTCACTGTCAGCTTAAGGAAACTTTTCTTCACTAAAGGGCGTTTGTCATTGATCACTAAAATAGTTTAAATAGCTTAACATGTACTGCTAAACTACAGTCCCTACAAGCTCGTTGTTCAGAACTTAAGACTGCAGCTGTTAGGGAAGTTAGTATTTTTTTATGAGCTTGATTTCTTTCATTTTTTGTGTGTTTAGATTACGTATTTTATCGTGAACCATAAAAGAAAAGCACTGTTACCACAAAGCAGCAGTTCAGCAAGAGTTAACTAATTTCTCCTGACGGGGATGCACCCTGTAGTACTTAGTTATCAGTTCAAACTGTCCTAAACTTAAGACATTCCTGGTTAGTGAAAGTTCGTTACAATGAATTGGTAGGCAAGTGTACTTTGTTAAAAATTATTATCTTGGTTAAAATATGCAAGACCTTTAATGCCTTATCTGCTGTGTTTGAATTCTGAACAAATGCTTAGGTATCAATTTATTTACAGACCTTCTTTTAGAAAAAAAAGCTTGTAATTTGTTGCAGCCTAATTAAATAACGCTTCTGGAGTACATACTTTATGTATGTATGAATGGATGCACATCTCTTGAGCTGTAGGTTTTTCTATTCAGAGCTACTTTTTTAGAATCTATGTATTATCTTGATGTTATGTAATTATTGTGGAAAATGTTTTGAAGATGTTGGAATGTTTTGAGTTTTTATTGTCAAACCATTAAGTGCTTTTAAAAACATTAAATACAAAGTATGCATTTGATTTGGTGAATTTATTATATGACTAAAAGGCCATCTGTAAAAGCGTGTGTATATGTGTATGCACACACAATTGGGATATTTATAGTGTTTCAGGGGAAAGGGATTTTAACTGTTGTTTTCTTCCATTGCTGTATCATTTGATACCACTATTCTGCTCCTTACTGATGGAGTAATTGGTTTAGAGTGGAATTATTTCTTGGATTTGTATCAGTGTAAGATCAGAATCTGTCCTTGAGGTTTAAATTGCTGTTACTTAAACACATCTCTCTCTTTTTCTGAGTCAGCCATAGTGAATTGGTATAGCTTTTACTGATAGTTGAACAGTGTAGTATCCCCATCGATGACACAGGAGTTATGTCAGCAGTAGGATAGGAATATCAGACAGTTTTTTGTTGTTGTAAGGCTGTGGTTTCAAATGTAAAAAATGTGTCAGTAACTTGTGTGTGTGGAGGAAAGGGGGAAATGGAAAAGTGATACACTTTGGTCACATGGGTGTATCAGGCAATGAATGAAGTAATCTTTAAAATGCCCCAGCAATATTTGTGAGTTGCTCATTTTGTAATTTATTTTTACAACAGGTTCCCGTAAAGAATCAGCTCCTCAAGTCCTGCTTCCAGAAGAAGAAAAAATCATTGTAGAAGAAACTAAAAGTAATGGTCAGACTGTTATAGAAGAGAAGTAAGAGAACATTTAATGAATGATGGGTTAAACCAGTAAACTTTGCACTCTGCCTTCTCCCATCTCCCATTTTAGTAGTGTGTGTATGGTGTCTTTGTGGTAGGGAACCAAGCTCTTTGGAGTATGTGGCCAGTCTTTTAAGTGCAGTGGGCCTTCATTTGAAGTGCTTGTAGTCTGGTTTCTTTGTATATGCTATGCAACTTACTCCTTACATGCCAAAAAGTGCCATGTTTCACTTGTAAATAATTTTTCCAAGTGCTGCAGGATTTCAATATTGGTGTCATCTTTCTAGTTAGTGTGGTGTCATTCTACTTTTGGTAAGGTGTGTGTTGGAAATTAAATACAGTTCTGTTACAGAAAGCAGTAATACAGAAACCAGTATAGGTCCATATGTTCTTGAGGTGTGTCCTGTCACAGCAGCTGGTGACAGGTCCTTGCTTTACTGAATATAAATTGGGATGAGACAGGTTTTTTAGCACAAGTTTGAAATTAGCTGTTAGCACTGGGTTTGGGTTTTTTAATTAATTTCATCTAAGTTTTGTCTAATAATAGATTTGAACATGTATTTCTGCAAACCGATCATCTTCTTTTTTCATTTTAGAAGCCTTGTTGACACAGTATATGCATTAAAGGATGAAGTACAGGAGTTAAGACAGGTTGGTAACTTGCTACATTTATAGCACCATGGAGAATGGAAAGATGAAAGGCTTATTATAAGTTAATGCGGCTTGTAAGTTGATTCACTCTGACAGGAATGAACTTGAATGTTGGACTAGATTAACTGGTAAAAGTAAAACATACCAATTTGACAAAAAACACCCTCTTTTCTGGTTGTCATCAATCCTTGGAGTACCAAACTTTGAGAATAGCATTAAGTATCCTCTCTCTGAGGTGACTTACTAAGCTGTGGTTCAGTGGTTCAAATTTATTTTTGGTTGTTACAGCTTACAAGATGTTGAAAGGTGTAAGAAAATTGAGTTCTGCATCACCAGCAAGATAAGCTTATAGAGACTGTGAAATAGTATTTGCTCTAGAATGTATAATTGTCATAGTATAAATGTCTGTATCTATTCAGGCCTTTATTAAAGGTCTTTCAGTAACCTGAATACCTCTTAGGAATCAGTTCTTAAAACCTCTCATTTGCAGACAAGAGTCCTTTTCAGTGTCTGTCAGGTGTCCTGTTTTCTAATGAGGGCTTCAGGTTAGCTTAGGGTGCTGCTTTGTCACATGGGGCACTTGTGCAAGATCTCAACCTGAGTTCCTGGTATGGAAGTTGCAGCCAATGTTTTAAGCTTAAGTATCCAAAATGAGGTGTTTAAAAATATCTTTTTCTTGTCAGGAAATTACCTGTTTAAACCATGTTAATGCTGCTGAACATGGTCATTGCTTAAATGTGTAGGTGAAAAAGCATTGAATTATCTTCACTTTCCATTTTGTGAATTTGCTAACTGACCTTAACAGTTCTGACTCAGGAAGTAGGATAAAATCTCCTGTGTTAATGTAAAATGGTTTTGTATTCAAATTACTTTAGGTTTTGGGCTATAAACTTTAATCTGAATACTTTGCCTATCTGTAAGCATGCCTAGTATGTCTAAGGGTGTTGTGCATGTTCCTTGAAATAGGACAGTTGATGTCCTAAATAGTTAAATTCTGCTGTTTACAACATATAAAGCGTGTGTATCCCAGGTTTAATGCAAATTTGACAGTCTTTTTAAAAACACAATTCATGTACTACAAGCAGCAATAATAACCCTCTAATATTTCTGTGGCCTGGCTGCTTTTGTGCAAAGGATAAACGTGCTGCCTCACTGAGGCCCTGCAGATCTCTGTGACCCTGACAAAGTCACCTTCTCCTGAACTTCAAGCAACAGATCCCTTTTCTGATGCCTTTCCAAATAGACAGTCTTTTCAGATTCTCGCACCTTCCAAAGCCAAGACCTACTAAAGTCTGAGTTCACTTTCTTGTATACCAGGAATCTCAGCTGAGAAGCATTTACTGGTCTACTGCTGTTGTGTTGCCAACTGGAGAAGTTGCAGAAATAATCTCTGAGCTGGGAGGGTCCCAAGTGACCAAGGGCTTTATGGATAAAGGCTCTCTGGGAGTGCATAGTACACTGGTTGGTGTAGATCCCAGACTGACGGTTGAAGAGTCACCACGCAAAGTGGGTTCCTTCCCGTAGCAGCTTCCATAGGTTATTCATAGCTGTTGCTCCACAGGCACTACACTTGAATAGTACAGTCCTGAATTGGCAGTAAATAAATAAAAGGAAAAGAAATTAAGTCCATACCTACAAGAAAAGAATGAAATTCCTGAGTTTCTCAACAGACTTGAGTAGGGAATGGAGTTAGGGAGGTGGCAGCTGTTGATCCCATCCTGTTTCTAGAAATGTCTGTGAATGACAGCCAGTGGGAGTCCAGTGGGACAGACTTGTTTGTTAAACACCTGTAGACTTCTTGTCTTGCAGCCTTAATATAATGTTGTCTTATCTTCTGGTTGCTTCCCCACTGTTGCCAGCATCACCTTGGCCTGTACAGGATTAAACAATGTAAGCATTACTGTGGTTTGGTCAGTGACATGCTTACAGTTCTGTTGTTCATGGTATTTCAGTATTACCTGATGGTGCTAAATATTGAGAACCAACTCATTAATACACATGCAGAGTGGTGGTGTTTCTTGAAATTCAGACTCCTCTTAGACTGTTGGTAGTCACCTGTCTGGTTTAAACTTTAGTTACAGAACACTTTCCAGAGATCATAATAGTTTTCAAGATACTTCTTTCAACTGTTTACTTTCCTAATGAAGGAAGTTAATCTGCATTAAGTTACAAGAAGCTCTTCTGAGATTGAAACTAGTTATAGTCATGGGAGGCTCTTAGAGGGGATATTTATACTTACTGCTCCATTTCCCTTCTCTGTTAACAACAAATGTATTCTATTCTTCTTTGATCAGATTTGAGCAGAAGAATTCAAGATTATTTGCCATCTGTTACTAGCACTTGCATTATAAAGGACCCCTAAGTATAAATAGGAAATAGCTCAGTTTCCATTTGGTGGGTTTTTTGCTGCATTGTGTGAATTAACTGTGTGTAACTTGTGAAATTTTCATAGAAGGCTTTGCTTTTGAACAGCTAATAGCAGTCTTACAAATTCTGAAGGCTTTTGTCAGTAATTGACAGTGTATGTGGTCAGAAAAGATCTGCTAAAAAAAACCAACACCCAAACCAAACACTAATATTTCTGTCTCTATTAAACAGGATAACAAAAAGATGAAGAAATCATTAGAAGAAGAACAAAGAGCTCGCAAGGACTTGGAGAAGCTTGTTAGAAAAGTTCTAAAGAACATGAATGATCCGTCTTGGGATGAAACCAACTTATAATTAATTTTTTCTTTTTTTTTTCTTTCTATTGAAAGACCAGTTGTAAAACTGAGCTGGGAAGCCTTCTGACATTAGTCAGTGTTGCATCAAGAGCACTACAAAACAGGATTTAACTGGATCTAGCAATTTCTTGCTCTCAACATACAGAAACAGTCAAGCCATTTACTGAAGCAATCTGTACTTTAAGTGTGGAGACCGTGGATCCTGAACTCTACTAAACTTAATTTGTTTGCATCTAAATTACCTCATCTTGCAGAAAGTGCAGCACCTGACTAAAAGTCCATGTTTTTCAGTGGCTTTTTAATTAAATATGTATTTTTCTTGTAAATATCTGTAATTTTGAATGCATATGTGATGGATGTATCAGGGCTGATATGTTACTTTTTTCTCTTGTTGTTATAATGATCACAAGTGTTAGAAATGACGGCAGTACTGTCTTACCTAAGAAAGGTCAGAGTTCTTTGCGGATAATTGTGGATCTGTTCCAAATTACCCACTCATCACACATGCAAATTTAAAAATCTATTTTTCCCATTGACCACTGTATTTAAATCCTTTACTGTTATTTATGTCTGTGCATACATTTTTAAACAGTTTACAATTCTTTAAGAACAGTATTAAAATACAGAAGATTGTTTATTGACAGTATAAACAATTTTTAACAAAACTAATGCCCATAATTTACGTTCACATACACTTGTTTGGCAGACTGATCTGTTGTGCTTTGGCCACTGAAAGACTGATGTACTTGCCTGCTTTTTATGACTGTGATTTTTAGGTGTTTATGTACTACATTTTCTATTGTGCTTAAACATACAGCTGGCTGATAATTTAATAGATCATACAGTTTGTTAAAAAAAAAATCAATCTAATCCAGAATTTTGTGAATAAATTGTTGCTATTTATATTTTATGGTCACAACAATTAAATTTCAGCTAACCTTTGTGCTTAAGACACATGGGCTAGGCCAAACTTCATTCAGAGCTTTGTTTTTATACCACTATGTAAGGCGCTCTGTTTGGAATTCCCAGATTGTGCTTTCCCACCCTGTTTTCTCAGTGTGTTAATGGTTTCTGTCCTACTAGGATGTAAATGGAAACAAATCTGGAAATAAGAAAAAAAATTACATACTGTAATTCATAATTTGCACTGCTGACAGATTTGAAAATATATACATGAACATTTATTCCCTAGTCTGATAGGTGCAATTACTGCAATCTTTTCTTGTATTTAAAATAGGAGATACTACATCACTGCAAACACTGAGCTTCAGTTGGAGCACTTAAAATACTAATCCCATTAAAGCTCATTGTGTTTCACTGATTTCAGCAAACTTCGGATTAAACTCCAGACAGTGCAGTTTACTGAGGGGTGTTTCTTCAGCTGACAGTCAGAAGTGCAGGTATAGCACAGACCTGAGTCGCACCTTGTGTTATCCTGATTTTTCTAGTGCCCTTTAACTGCTATTAAATTTAATGCTTGGACTTGAGCAAATATTTGTATCAACTTTAATGAGTTGGAGCCAGGATGATTAGGGTGGTAAGAATGGTCATGCACACTTTGAATCAAATGAAATATTTATTTTTAAAGCTACCCACTTCTCTCAGCCAAGAACAGCTATTTTAAATAGGAAAGAATGTCAATGATTAAATATTTTAGAAACAATTCTGTGAGAATGGATACTTAAGATCTGAATAAACAATTAGTTGTCTGATTTAAAAAGCTGAACATACTTGTAGGTATTTTAATATGTGAGCCTATAATTTAAAAGCGTCTTCCTTTAATTCTAAAGGAGGAAACTGGATTAAAAAAACTAACAATGCCTACAGTATCAGAGTTACATATATTCTCAGAACTTTAAATTTATGATAATTCTTGATATCAAAATTTGTTTGCAGTTGCACAAAAATGTGGCCTGACATTTATATTTATCTTTATATTTAGCTAACACTCTCGCTAAAAGCTAAGTGATACTACGCTGCAAATTCGTAACATCTTGGCTAAAATTAGATTTGGGAATGCAGAGATAATTGAATTTTGCTAACATTTTTACTTTCTGACATTCAGGCTATTTTCAGAGTGAATGTTAATTTTCAGTTGAGCATATGTGAAAGGACATTCCAGAGGAAGACATATAAAAGGAAAACATTAATCTTAGAAGTATTTAGCAAATTTAACTCAGGAACAACTTCCATCATAACTTGTTTTACGTTATATTGTAAAGAGTGGTGTTGCTATGTAAATTCGCTGACTCTCCGTACCTGTGATTAGTATAATTTCTGACAGTACCCCTATATTGACATCTAGTGAACATGCCTTAAACACTGGGATTAAGCAGTTGTTAAATATGACCAGGACTTAGGGACTGATTTTATTCAAGGTGTATTGGGATGACTAATAAAAAACAAAACAAAACAAAAAAACCCCACCTAATATTGTAGGTAGCTTTTCTCTCTAGCGCTGAGAGCAAGCTTCAGGCTTTTGGGAGCCAAGGAGTACCTGAACTTTCTTCTTCGACAATTTGTTATGCTGTATATAGATTGTAAATTTCACCATGGACCTTCTGAATTGTTGGAAACTTTCTATACGCATGGATAAATGGGGCACTGTTTATTTAACCTATTAAAGGGTTATTTCTTTGCTCTCATCATTTAGGGATGAGGAGATGAAGCCATTTCTTATCCTATAGATGTGAAGCACTTTCAGTTCTGAACTGTCCAAAATGTAGCATAACATTTCTCTGTACTTACTGATGTATGCGTGTTTGTCTCACCATGTCATGACATCTTAAAGATTAAACAACTGACGGCCTTTGTATAAACCTTCTTAATGCCAATCATTTAGGGAATTTAGAGTGTCTGTTTATGATATCTGTGAAGAACTCAAGTTTAGGCTAGACATCACAATAATATCCTGGTATCGACTACTAAAGTGTTTATGCTACATTGTTGTAATTAAACCATGATTTTTCCCCTACCCTATGAAGTGTTAACCTTTCCTCTAATATGTGGGCTGTGAAATTAAGGAAAATTGCTTTCATTTTTTTCTTGCCTTTTATATAACCAACCTCTGTGATTTAATAGTTGATACGCTATCTTGAAAGGACTTTTTCATCGTCCTTTGTAATAGCGAAATGATGCCTGGAAAACAAAACAAAGCAAGGGTTGTTTAGAGGAGTGAGAAGTAGGATCTTGACTGTCTTCCACTGAGGAAAATTTCAGTTTGGCAACCTGACCTGCGAGGGTAATATAAGAGATGGAGGAGATCAAAGACAACATAATGAAAGGGAAGAAAGCAAGAAACACTAGAAAATGAAATAGCTGCATAAAGAAAGTAAAATACTTGTCTACATGCATGACTTATCACAAATTTCAGGTATATTCAGATAAGTGTGCATCATAGGAACATTATTTGGTTGGTACTACCGGAAATAAGGGAGGGGGATGATTTTTATGTTAGAAACATCGTTGGTATTGCTATAGGCAGGGTGATGGGACAGGTAAAGGAAAGTGTAGGGAGTCATTTGTTTGAAAAGATGGTTTCAGTCGTTGGGCAAGACATTTGCAGGGGCTTATAACTGAGCTTAGGTGTGTGAAATAATGCATCTATTCCAGCTGAGTTTAGCAAGGAGGTATTCTTAAAAAGGACAGAGGACTTTGTGCAGCATTGTATGAGTTCCGTCAGAAGAAATCTCATTTGCCAACTTTTCTCTTGGTTCATCACTGTAAAGACGGGTATTTCCCACAATTTGAAATCATAATTTACTTCTAATCTGAAGTGTTTTGGGGATTTTGTTTTGGGTGTTTTTTATTGTGGTGGGTTGACCTTGGCTGGCTGCCAGACCTCCCCAGCTGTTCTTTCACTCTTCCTTAGCAGGAGGTAGGAGAGCGAATAAGGTGGGAAAGCTTGTGGGTTGAGATAAAAGACACAGACTATGACATACCAATTAGCATCATGGGCAAAACAGATGACTTGAGGAAAGGCAAAACAGATGACTTGAGGAAAGGCAAAACAGATGACTTGAGGAAAGGCAAAACAGATGACTTGAGGAAAGGCAAAACAGATGACTTGAGGAAAGGCAAAACAGATGACTTGAGGAAAGGCAAAACAGATGACTTGAGGAAAGGCAAAACAGATGACTTGAGGAAAGGCAAAACAGATGACTTGAGGAAAGGCAAAACAGATGACTTGAGGAAAGGCAAAACAGATGACTTGAGGAAAGGCAAAACAGATGACTTGAGGAAAGGCAAAACAGATGACTTGAGGAAAGGCAAAACAGATGACTTGAGGAAAGGCAAAACAGATGACTTGAGGAAAGGCAAAACAGATGACTTGAGGAAAGGCAAAACAGATGACTTGAGGAAAGGCAAAACAGATGACTTGAGGAAAATTAATTTCTTGCCATTTAATAATAGAGTTGGATGTTGAGGAACAAAGCGAAAAACCATGCCACCTTTCCCCCTACCTGACGAATCCTTCCCAGGCTGAACTTCATTCCTTCATGCCTGATGCCCCTATCATCCGCTCTCCCCCCACCAAGCAGCACAGGGGCATGGGGAATGGGGGTTGTGGTCCGTAACATTTCTTTCCTGCTCCTCTTTTGTGCTTTTCCCTGCTCCAAGTGTGGGTCCTCTCCATGGCCTGCAGTCCTTCAAGGATAAACCTGCTCCAATGTGGGTTCCCCCTGGGCTGCAGTGTCTGACCGGAACCTGCCCCAGTGTGGGCTCTCTGTGGACTGCAGCATCCTTCAGGGCACCTGCACAACCCTCCATGGGCTGCAGGTGGTATCTGCTCCAGTGTGGGGTCCTCCATGGGCTGCAGGTGCAATCTGCTCCAGCATGGACCTCCACGGGCTGCAGAGGGACAGCCTGCCTCACCATGATCTCTACCACAGGCTGCAGGGGATCACCTGGAGTGCCTTGTTCCCTTCCTTCTTTGATCTGGGTATTCACAGGGAAGTTTCTCACACCTTGTCCTCCCTGCTGCACTTTTAAGTACGCTTTCCTCAAGGCACCACCATTTTGGCTAAGGGGCTCAGCTGTGTCCTGAGCTGCTGCTCCTTGTCCACGGGGTATCTAATTTACATCCTGTTGGAGCTGCTACACCTAGCAGACTCAGAAATTTATGTGCAGAACCTGCTGTTACCCACTTTCAGTGGACGCCTTTGCTTTCTGTGATAGGGCAAGAGATGTGAGAAGAGAGAGCATGTACTAACTGTTGATTATGGGAGTGAGAGGCCTAAAGAAGGGGAGGCATGGGTGAAATGTGTGCATATCTATATGTACGCCACGAGTCCCACAGTGCTGACACTGCAGGGTCCCAGAAATGCGGGGTTCGCACTTTGGAGAAATATTTAAGAAGGATTTTCTCTGCAGAGCATGCTTTATAATCTAGAAAAGGGATGTAGGCTTGCCATATTTCACCTTGTGTGCTCTGCTCTTGAGCTTTCTCTTTAACTCATCTGAATCAAGTATCATCTTGGACAGGGAGCTGAGCCTGGATTTAGAACTCAAGTAACCTCCTGAGCTTTTCATTAATGTGAGCGGCTGCCCTCAAGCTATTGTTCAGGCCCAAATCTAATCCTTGTGTTGTTAAAAGGAAACGGGAGCTACGGTGAATGGTTACAACTGTGTCGCTACGTCCATAGCGCAGATCTTGGCAGTCCAGAAGTTGCTCGGATGCTCCCGTTAGTTCCTGAACATTCTCACCGATTCCATTCCTTTCCCGTGTTGGACATGCACAGGCTCTCCCTTACGCATGGTGGAGCTTACTTCGGTGCTTTCACCCT